TTCATTGGAAGGACTGATGCTGAAGCTGAAACTCCAATACTTTGGCCACCTGATGCGAAGAACTGACTCATTTGAAAAGACCCTGATCCTGGGAATGATTGAAGGTGGGAGGAGAAGGGGATGACAGAGGATGAGATGGCGGGATGGCATCACTGACTCAATGGACATGAGTCTGAGTAAACTCTGGGAACTGGTGCTAAACAGGGAGGCCTGGCATGCTGCTGTCCATGGGGTCGCAAAGAGTCGGACACGACTGAGCGACTAAACTGAAATGAACTGAGCTTAACTGAAGTATATACCCTAACAAGAGAAATGAAAAACCTCTACACAAAACTTTTATATGAATGCTGATTACAGCATTGTTCATAACAGTGAATTACAATCTGATAGTGGAAACAACACAAATGCCCATCAGCTGATGAATAGATAAAATTCTGTCTATTCACATAATGGAATATGTGAAATTTGGCAATAAAAAGAAATACTGAGACATGTTACAACATTGGTAAATTTTGAAAACATTATGTCAATCGAAAATAGTCAGTCACAAAGGACCACATATTTTATTATTCCATTTATATGAAATGTCCAGAATCAGAAGTTGAAAAAGACAGAAAGTAGCTTAGTAGCTGTCCAGAGCTAAGGGCTGGGGGAAAATGATGCATGACTGCAAATGGGCATGGTGTTTCTTTCTGAGGTGATGAAAATGTTCTAAAAGTGATAGTGGTGATGGTCTACAACTCTGAATATGATTAACCAGGTTGCATATATATTTGGGGATATCCAATTACTATACAGAGTAAATACACTCATAAAATAAAACAAGTCTCAATTTAACAGATTTATGTAGATTTTCATTGTCCTATCTGATTTAACTTTGGCAGCATGACTTCGATTTCTTCTTCTTTTTAAAATTAATTCTCATTGGGGTATAGTTGCTTTACAATGTTGTGTTAGTTTTCACTGTACAGCAAAGTGAATCCACTATACATGTACATATTCCCCTCTTTTTTTTATTTCTTTCCCATTTAGGTCACCACAGAGCACTCAGTATAGTTTCCTGAGCTATACAGTGCAAGGGTGCTTAGTCACTCAGTCATATCCGACTCTTGGAACCCCATGGACTGTAGCCCACCAGGTTTCTCTGTCCAGGGGATTCTCCAGGCAAGAATACTGGAGTGGGTTGCCATTTTCTTCTCCACTGCTATACTGTGGGTTCTCATTAGTCATCTATTTCACACATAGTAGTGTATACGGAAAAACAGACTTGTTTCAAGTTGGGAAAGGAGTACGTCAAGACTGTATATTGTCACCCTGCTTATTTAACTTATATGCAGAGTACATCATGAGAAATGCTGGACTGGATGAAGCTCAAGCTGGAATCAAGATTTCCAGGAGAAATATCAACAACCTCAGATAGGCAGATGACACCACACTTATGGCAGAAAGCGAAAAAGAACTAAAGAGGCTCTTGATGAAACTGAAAGAGGAGAGTGAAAAAGTTGGCTTAAAGCTCAACATTCAGAAAACTAAGATCATGGCATCTGGTCCCATCACTTCATGCCAAATAGATAGGGAAACAATGGAAACAGTGAAAGACTTTATTTTGGGGGGGCTCCAAAATCACTGCAGATGGTGACTGCAGTCATGAAATTAAAAGACACTTGCTCCTTGGATGAAAAGTTATGACCAACCTAGACAGCATATTCAAAAGCAGAGACTACTTTACCAACAAAGGTCCATCTAGTCAAAGCTATGATTTTGCCAGTAGTCAGGTACGGATGTGAGAGTTGGACTGTAAAGAAGGCTGAGTGCCAAAGAATTGATGCTTTTGAACTGTGGTGTTGGAGAAGACTCTTGAGAGTCCCTTGGACTGAAAGGAGGTCTAACCAGTCAATCCTAAAGGAAATCAGCTCTGAATATTCATTGGAAGGAGTGAAGCTGAAGCTGAAGCTCCAGTACTTTGGCCACCTGATGTGAAGAACTGACTCATTTGAAAAGACCCCGATGCTGGGAATGATTGAAGGCAGAAGGAGAAGGGGACAACAGAGGATGAGATGGTTGGATGGCATCACCAACTCAATGTACATGAGTTTGAGGAGGCTCTGGGAGTTGGTGATGGGCAGGGAGGCCTGGCTGCAGTCCATGGGGTCACAAAGAGTCAGACACGACTGAGCGACTAAACTGAACTGAACTGAGTGTATATATGTCAATCCCAATCACTCAATTCATCCCACCTCCCCTTCACCCCTAGGTAGCCATGTGCTTGTCTGTTCTCTACATCTGTATCTCTGTTTCTGCTCTGCAAATAAGTTCATCTGTATCATTTTTCTAGATTCTACATATAAGTGATACACAATATTTGCTTTTCTCTTTCTTCCTTCACTCTGTGTGACATTCATGTCTCTGCAAATGGCACAGTTTCATTCCTTTTCATGGCTGAGTGGCAACTTGACTTTAAATAGCATAAAATAATTTCAACTGATAAACACCCAAGTCACTGCAAACTTTATAAATCTCTTTTGCATGAAGAACAAAAGTTTACTAAGAGCTTATGCTGTGCTGTGCTCAATTTTTCAGTTGTGTCCAAGTCCTTGTGACCCTATAGATTGTAGCCTGCCAAGCTCCTCTGTCCATGGGATTCTCCAGGCAAGAATACTGGAGTCAGTTGCCATGCCCTTCTCCAGGGAATCTTCCCAACAAAGGGACTGAACTCAAGTCTCCTGCATTGCAGGCAAGTTCTTTACTGCTGAGTCACTAGCAAAGCCAGTTTACTAAAAGCTTACCATTTTGAATTGTTTTATGTGTTAGGATTTACTTCCACAAAACTATCAAGGTTTTGAGTTCTTGTAAAACTTACAGATTTTAAGTACATAAAAATAAATATTCTTATGGTAACGAAAGAGGATAGCAGTGGTGGGGACCAGAGATAAATTAGGAGTTTGGGATTAACATGAATACTACTATATATAAAATCAGTAAACAACAAGGACCCACTGTATAGCACAGGGAACTATACTCAATGTATTGTGATAATCTATAACGGAAAAGAATCTGAAGAAGAATATATATTATGTATATGTATAACTGAATCCGTTTGTTGTACACTTGAAATTAACAAAACATTGTAAAGCAATTAAACTTCAGTAAAAAATAAAATTAAAACAAAGAAGTGTTCTATTTTGGAGAAATAGAGAACTTGAGACCAGAACACCACTTTAATTTACTAATTTTCTCTATCTGATCAAATCTCTTAATCCCTGATTCTCAATTTTCTTTCAGTTAAATCTTTACCCATTTCGAGAGTCACAGTACACTTTCTATTCTGTAAACAGAATGAAGTGAAATGTTAGTCTGTTAGTCGCTAGTTGTGTTCGACTCTTAGTGACCCCATGGACCGTAGCCTGCCAGGATCCTCTGTCCAGGGAATTTTCCAGGCAAGAACACTGGAGTAAGTAGCCATTCCCTTCTCCAGGGAGTCTTTCTGGCCCAGGGGAACCTGGGTCTCCTGCATTGCAGGCAGATTCTCTACCATGTGAACCACCAGGGAAGCCTGTAAACAGAATAGATGGGCACAAAGATTGGGCCCAGGGATTTCTTTCCTACTTTTTATTTTTCAAGTGAAAATTTTTATTGTAGTTGTTCTGTCACGGCTGGGGCAGTGGTACATTTTCCATTTAATTTGTAGATAGATCCTGTACAAGACTGTGATAGAACTGAAGAAGGATGGATGGCATCTAGACACAGAACTCAGGATGAGCAAAAGATTCTGTAGCAGTGGTCAAGGTCTCCGGGCATGACTGACTGGGCTGATCAGAACTCCACTGGGAGAGGGGAGCGTTTGTGAGTGTACATGAGGTTGTTGGGTTATGTTAGGCAGGAGGCACATGAAATTGTAGGAAAGCAAAGGAGAGCATGCACACGTTCCTGGCAGCCATGGTGTTTTCCAGCACACTCCTCTTCTACACAGATGCCCCCAACTCCACCTTCTTGCTGAAGGAGACCAGACAGCCTCAGAAAGCTAGAGGAAGAAGAAGTTACAAGGAAGGAGAAACTGGGAAGCAGCTAAAGTCCTTGGTTACCAAGCAGCTATAGAGTAGAGAATGAAAGAGTTAGTCACTCAGTCATGTCTGACTCTTTGTGACCCCAGGGACTATAGCCTGCCAGGCTCCATGAAATATTCTCCAGGCAAGAAAACTGGAGGTAGCCATTTCCTTCTCCAGGGGGTCTTCCCGACCCAGGGATTGAACCCAGGTCTCCTGCATGGCAGGCGGACTCTCTACTGCCTGAGCCACAGGGAAGCCCTGGTAGAGAATAAGGACGGTGATAAGCAGAGGGAAGAAGAGGAGAACGTAGGCAGAGGCCAACGCTCAGGAAGCCACTGAACTAAAGTAACGACAAAGCTCTAGGGTTAACGTCTGGGGACTCCGGATGGAATGCCCTCTGGCCAAGGATGAGCAACCTTCCAGGGAAGGCCTCCGTGAAGCCTGGCCAGCCTAACGTTTCTGCTNGCTCAGGAAGCCACTGAGCTACAGTAACGACAAAGCTCTAGGGTTAACGTCTGGGGACTCCGGATGGAATGCCCTCTGGCCAAGGATGAGCAACCTTCCAGGGAAGGCCTCCGTGAAGCCTGGCCAGCCTAACGTTTCTGCTCTGGAATTTCCATTTCCTCATTAATCTTTCCACGTGCTTCCCAGGTGGCCCTAGGGGTAAAGAAGTCTCCTGCCACTTCAGGATGCCTGAGACAGGTTCCACCCCTGGGCCGGGAAGATTCCCTGGGGAAGCGAATGGCTACTCACCCCAGCATTCCTGCCTGGAGAATCCCATGGACAGAGGAGCCTGGCAGGCTGCAGTCCCTGCCCTTGAATTTCCGTTTCCTCATTAATCTTTCTAGTAAGACCCTGTTTCATGAACAAGCCCAACTGAAACGGAAACACCTCTCAAATTGCATTCAGGGAAAAGTTCTTTCATGATAATTCATCATTTATGGTCAGTTTTAAAATCTTGATCATTTCCAAATAATATTTGAAAGAGGTTGGTTCATTATAAGCCCAGTACTATTCCCCAGATGGTGGGTCCTTTTCACAATGTATTCTCCCTTGTTCTCTCAAAGGCTTGCTTAAGATCACAGAAAGAGAAAGCAGATGATTTAGGGAATGAAGGGGACAGAAAGAAACTTTGTAGCTCATATAGGAAAGAGCCTTTAACAGACAGGAAGACAGAGCAAATGAAGCAGTGAGCCAGTGCTCCTACTTTTCTGTTCTCTGCATGATACCAACAATAGCACTTATTCACATAACAAAAAAAAATTTTTTTAACCGATAAGGCAGCTGCACCTTAGGAAGGTTAAAAACAGAAAGCTACTGCTTTTAGGGTCCTCCCACATATTGGGGGGAAGAACAGTTAAACATGGAAAACTTTGAAAATTGTTTCCTAATTTAAACAATCTGTAACAACAATGAAGCATAGTTTCCATCCTAACCTTCCTTGTAAAAGAAACAAAAAGTGCAACAGTTTTAAAGCCAGGATCCTCTGAGGTGTAAAGAAATTCCAAAATTAGGTCCTGTTTCCTGGCTGTGACAAATTTGTGCATTCTTTTAGCACTAGGTATCCAAGGCAGAGAATCTCAAAGTGCTTCCTCCACTGCGGAAAACCTACCAAGCAACAGTAAGTAAAAATAAATCTTCACAGCCCAAGTGCAGAGCACTCAATTTCTATCATGCCTTTTACACTAAACCATTGAACAGCAGGCCCTTAGTCAGAAATTTTAGCAGAATTCAAATTTTGTTGGCTTTTTTTCAGATTAGCTATTAAGCATCCTGTTGGTGTTTAGTCACTCATTTGTGTCCTACTCTTTGCAATGCCGTGGACTGTAGCCTGCCAGGTTCCTCTGTCCATGGGATTTCCCAGGAAAGACTACTGAATTGGGTTGCCATTTCCTTCTCCAGGGGATCTTCCCAACCCAGGGATCAAACCCAAATCTCTTGCAGTGGCAGGCAGATTCTTTACCACTGAGCCACCAGGGAAACCCAAGCACCCTGTACTTTTTTTTTTTTTAATTCAGATAGTATTTATATTTAAACATTATAGTACAGTTCAACCTCTCAGAAAATCTTCCAGGGTTACATAATTTATGAAGGTTCACATAGAATTCATAAGAAAACTGTAAATTAGAATAAGTCTTACCTTTCATTCTTATTCTTAGACACATTGGAATTTAGGTCAATTAAATTTTCGAGGTTCTGGTCTCTACAGGAAAAAAAAAAGCAGCAAGTATTTAAATACATATCATGGGAAATGGAGAAACAGTGGAAACAGTGTCAGACTTTATTTTTTGGGGCTCCAAAATCACTGCAGATGGTGATTGCAGCCATGAAACTAAAAGACACTTACTCCCTGCAAGGAAAGTTATGACCAGCATAGATAGCATATTAAAAAGCAGAGACATTACTTTGCCAGCAAAGGTCCACCTGGTCAAGGCTATGGTTTTTCCAGTGGTCATGTATGGATGTGAGAGTTGGACTGTAAAGAAAGCTGAGCACCGAAGAATTGATGCTTTTGAACTGTGGTGTTGGAGAAGACTCTTGAGAGTCCCTTGGACTGCAAGGAGATCCAACCAGTCCATCCTAAAGGAGATCACTCCTGGGTGTTCATTGGAAGGACTGATGCTGAAGCTGAAACTCCAGTACTTTGTCCACCTCATGCAAAGAGTTGACTCACTGGAAAAGACCCTGATGCTGGGAGGGATTGAGGGCAGGAGGAGAAGGGGACAACAGAGGATGAGATGGCTGGATGGCATCACCGACTTGATGGACATGAGTTTGAGTAAACTCCGGGAGTTGGTGATGGACAGGGAGGCCTGGTGTGCTGCGATTCATGGGGTCACAAAGAGTCAGACACGACTGAGCGACTGAACTGATATGTATATGTGATTTAGTTACATATAATTTTAAGAAATAAAGCATTAGAATAAAATGTTTTAAACCAGTACTTAATTTTAAACATAGTGATTTGTGGTCTTAGAGAATATGGGACACTAAAAATCTGACATTGAACTATTAGATCTATACAACTTAAGTATGAGCACAAATTACATTATGAGAGAGAAATGAACTAAGTGTTTGGAAGGTTTGAGAAATTCAGTCTGAAGAGAAACAACTGATTGATATCTATCAGTTGAGTGAGTACTTACTTCACATCACAAAGGACTAACTTGTGTATTTCCATGTGGATTATCTCATTTAGACCTCACAGAATCTTGCAGGACAGCATACGAGGCTCAGCAAGGCTAAGTGAATTTTCCAAGTTCAATTAACTAATTTGTAAAAGAGTCAGGGCTTGAAGCTGAGCCACCTGCTCATCTGAAATCAATTCTACAATATTTAATTAGAGCCTTCATTCCAGATTTTTGCATAACAGAGACATGAGAAATCAACCCAAAATTTGAATCAACAGTCCACAATGTGGAGGATGAATGGGGCAATTAGATTCTTAAATCTTGGGCTACAGTGATTTGTCATACTTTCATGAGATACAGTGTTCTCTGGTGTGCTATGTACATATTAGCTGTTTATATATATTTTCTATAATACTGGTAGTTCTTAATTTTTTCCATGAGTTTGGAAAAGCCTTGTCATCAACTCTACTGGTTTGCAGGACAGTTTAGGAGTAAGAGTGAGGCCATTTCTTCCCCTACTTTTATGGGCCAGCTAGTCAACCTTTCTAAGCTTCCTTTTGTAAACTAGGATAATAATAGCTAAGTTTATAAGGTTTCAGTGAGAATAAATGAGTTAGTGTAAATAAAATTTATAGGCACAATGTCTATAGTTGTGCCTGAACTGAGTAAGAATAAATAAGTGATAATTAATAGAAGTGTAGTGACACAGCAGTGGGCACTATGGATTCCAAAATGTTGAGGGACTGTATTTTCATTTCTGCTGTAACTTTTCACATCTTTAGCATTAACTCCAGTTTTCATAAATCTCCCTTCTCTGGTCCTAAGGTTCTTTTATATGGAATCAGTGTATAGACTCAAATTGATATTTATAAGGATGAAAAATAATATAAAAGGCTTTGTATTTATGTGGAGTGAGACTTACTACTCTTTTTATATGACATCCAAGCCATCAATAATTGATAAATATGCTAATTGGGCAGCATTCCATAGCTATGCTTAAAGCTCACATTTAAAATACTAGCTACACATCTTTGAAAATGTAGAAATTAACTAAATTAATTTTTAATGTGAGGTATAGTAGAAAATATGCCAATTTAATATATGTAAAAAGTAAAGGATTTCAGAAGTAGCTTGGAAGTATCAAAATGATTTGATGCTACAGTCTGAATAATGTAAAATTTAAAATTGACTTTTCCAGCATAGCTGCTAGAACTGTGTGAGGAGAGCTCCCAGATCTCTTCTTTTGAATTTATAAATAGAGACAGCAGGCTTTTCCTTTGTAACCCTGATCAGTTCAGTTCAGTTGCTCAGTCGTGTCCACATCTTTGTGACCCCATGGACTTCAGGATGCCAGGCTTCCCTGTCCATCTCCAACTCCTGGAGCCTAGTCAAACTCATGTCCATTCAGTCGGTGATGCCATCCAACCATCTCATCCTCTGTCGTCCCCTTCTCCTCCTGCCCTCAATCTTTCCCAGCATCGGGGTCTTTTCCAATGAGTCAGTTCTTTGCATCAGGTGGCCAAAGTATTGGAGTTTCAGCTTCAACATCAGTCCTTCCAATGAATATGCATCACTGATTCCCCTTAGGATTGACAGGTTGGATCTCACTGTGCAAGGGACTCTCAAGAGTTTTCTCGAACACCACAGTTCAAAAGCATCAATTCTTCAGCACTCAGCTTTCTTTAGAGTCCTTGATGGTCCTTCCTTAATTACTAGAAGCATATCTTGACCTCAGGACTCACCATACTATTTTGACAGCCAGGATATTAAATTATCCTCCCCCTTGACATTTTAAAATAATACTTCACTAAATACTTGTGAATAATGGATTAAAAATTAAGTATTTAACTTAACTTTAAAGGATTGTGGTCTTCCATAATCCGGTTTCCCAGCAATGTCAAACTGGGATGGTTGGTAGAGGCAAACACTGAAAGAGCACCCAGAAATGTGAATCTTGGGGAAGGAGAATTCTATCCCAGGAAGTGATTCTCTCTCCAAAGCTAACCTTGGATGAACTGAGTGGCATTTTTAAAGGAAGCTGGTGTTTTTCATTATGACTTAAGAATAAAATCACATTACTGTGGCTTAACACGGCCTTGCATGCAGTAGCTGCTCCAAAAATACTTATGGCCTTAAATGTATTTAAATTCTCTTTTCTTCATTGCTGGTGGAAATTTATTGCTATCTTACCCAGCTCTGGGAAAAGACATGAAAAGGACCCCAGGGGAACCTTTTAGGAACCTTTAAGGTAGCCAGCTCCACACACATCTAAGTGCAGAGTATGCACCAGCACCACAGAGAAAAAGTTCACAGGAGATGGTGATGGGTATTTCACCTCCGTTTGCATCAGTCACCCAGAACCTGCCTTACTTCACCCCTGAATTGCACATATTTCTTTCCTCTTTTTTTTTTTTTTCACTCAGCTCCCAACCCTGGCTTTCTTTTCTTATTTTGGAACACTTCCTTACAGGGTCAAATATTGCCCTTCCACCAAATTTATATGCTGAAGTCCTAACACCAGCATGTCAGAATGTGTCTTTATTTGGAGATGGGGGTCTTTACAGAGATCCTCAAGTTCAAATGAGGTCATCAATGTGGGTCCTAATCCAATATGAATGGGATCTTTATTAGAAGAAGGAATTTAGGCTCGGATACACACAGATGGAAGACAATATGAAGACAAATGGTGAAGACAGCCCTCTACCAGCCAAGGAGGGAGGCCTGGAATAGATCCTTCCATCTGGGCCTTCAGAAGGAACCAACCCTACTGACTTCCTGATCTTAGACTTCTAGACTCCAGAATGATGAGAAAACAAATTTCTGTTTTAACCCACTCAGACCACGGTTCTAGTTATGGCAGTCCTAGCAAACAAATACAGATCATGTCACAGTATCATGACAGATACTATTATGTATAGCTTCTCGGCCTGATGCTGGCTATCCTTACCTGCTTGGCACTTTCCATTCCCAGTCTGCAGATACTGCATCTTTGATGTGTCTATACTTCCATCCCCCACCCCCACCCCCAGGACCCAATCTTTTGGATCCTAGCTATGGTGAGGGAGAGCAGAAATGGATTTAGACCTAAGCAAAGAGGAGCCACTGGAAGCTCACAAATCCAACCACTCCAGGTAGATAACTCAAAGTTGGAACCTGTACTTACCTTCAAAGAAGCACACTCCCAAAGGGATATAATTGTGAATCATCAAATACACCATGTTACTAGGGTTATAGAATTTTTGCTGTTTTTATTAAACAGTGCCACATATCAAGTTCGCTAGAGTGGGCTATAAGATTTTATCTTGAATCCTCTATACTAATATTTAAAGCAAAATTAAAAGTTCCAGGTTATGAAAAGTACAAAATGGGGATTTGCTGTGACTGTTCAGCCTGATTGATGTCATCAGCTAGATTTGGAGATCAATAAAAAGAAGTTCAGGTTGCCCGTAAACTTCCCAAGCTGAAGAATGTAAAAATAAATTTTTGTTTTTTAATTAAGATCACATCTATCACGTCATGTCTTTTACACCATGGTAGAAGATGAAAAGCTGTGAGTCAAAGTGTGAAAAATAGATTTTTATAGAAACCCAGCCAAATGCTGCAGGGTCGAACAAAGGCTTGATTCCAAACCCTTTCTGTGGTGGTTCGACGGAAGGATGACCTGGTAATTTTGTAATTTTATGAGCAGTCGGAATCAACTTTAAGAAAAACCACCAATTCTCTGTGGATCCAGAGAGAAGTGCTATAAAGAAATTTTGTTAACCATACTAACTAAAAATGTTTTTCTTTATGTAGACTTCAAAATGTTTAGGAAGAAATGAGTTATCAGTTATATAGAGTCACAGCATACATTTTGAATATAGGTATTTATCTGTTATAATCATGTAATTTATTTTCTACAGCCCCATTAAGGAATATAACACTTCTTAACAGAGAAGATTAAGCAAAAAAAAAAAAGAGAGAGAGAGAGAGAGATTCCAGGGACCAAGCTATCATTACGTCTCGTATAATACAGGTTTTCATAAGATATGCTCTACACGAAAGTTAACAGATCACTCCCAACTGCTCTTCC